TAAGGTGGTCATGTGCCTTCCACCAGAGACACGTAAGGTGGTCATGCGCCCTTCCACCAGCCCACCAGTACACGTAAGTGGTCATGTGACACGTAAGGTGGTCATGTGCCCTTCCACCAGTGACACGTAAGGTGGTCACGTGCCCTTCCACCAGCGACACGTAAGGTGGTCACGTGCCCTTCCACCAGTGACACGTAAGGTGGTCATGTGCCCTTCCACCAGCGACACGTTTGCATTTATATAACATTCAGGGGCGGATCCGGGGAGGTCCTGGAGGTCCGAATCCACTTTTCATCAGAAAATTCCAATACATTTTCTTTAATGCAGTATTGTACTCAGGAGTTTTTGTATAGTAAACTTTAAATGCAATTGACTTCAGAATATCTCCTAATATCAAGTTCACATGGCTTCAAAATGCCCGTGATATTGGTCAGATTTAAAAAAAATATATATATAATCTGGAGGGGGCCTTACACCCCCCCCCCAAATAAAACTAGCAGGGTGGGCTCGTTGTGCTCGTCATGTTCTCCCACCCACATTTTCTTGGACCCCCCTTTCGATATTCCTGGCTCCGCCCCTGGTCATTACTAGATGTCTTCATATTTTAATAAAATGTTACAAAGCGAATTCCGATCATATCTAAGCAAACCAATGAATATTTTTTATTTGGTTGGTGTTACTCGTTCATTCTCAAGTGTGTAGACAATACTGTACTGTACATAAATATAGACCTATGAACAGACGTCTTTTTACGGTGTTCTTAGTTTTCACCAGTCCTAACGAGACGACTGGAAAACCATTAAGCAGATCCAGAAATAAATCCTCAAAAATAATCCCAACGAAATGGAATAAAAGCCAGACGAGGCAGTGTATGACCCCCACCTGTTGAGTCTCGCTACCAGTGTGTCCCTCACGTTAAGTCTCCAGGTGTCGTGACCGAGGTGTTATGTGAGGCAAGGTATGTAATGTGAGCCACACAGGCACTCTGCCACAAACACACTGGCTATTACTTGTGTCATATTCTAACAATTCATAAATTTTAATTATGATAAATAAATGTTTATACTGTAGTTATATATTGATGTACGCCTAGTCATGGGTTATGTGGGTCTCGATAATTAGAACAATGAAGAGATAATTAAGATAGTCTCTGGTGTACTGTTTCCCACATGACCCTTTGTTACTGTGTCGTCTTGATGGTTCACTGAAGGAAAAACTGTTGGACTGATTAAAAAAAAAAATGTTGTTCGAAGTATGAAACCGAGATCGTGAGTTGACTGTGGTATTAGTGTGGCGACGGGAAAGAGCAGCGTCACCTTCATGTTCGAGGCTGGCGACCCTACCCAGGCATGCATTCGTCACCAACACCAGAACCACACCCTAAGATCCTATATTAACAAGCTGTATGACGCTGTGTCAAGGAATAAACCAAGAAGACCGGACAACTAGCCAACTGTACTGGCTAACCATTGCCCTGGAACGCGATCAGCAAATCGATTAACTTACAGTTTCCCAATTACTGCAGAGGCAAATGGCGTAAAGAAACCAATCGTTTACGAGACAAACATGTTAACTATTACACACACAGTAAACCACATTTAAATATTACCCGAGGGAAGGAGCAAGGACTAAAAACAGTATTTTATCCTGTTATAAACACATGTCTTGTTTACCACTACAAGGGTAACGTGTAGCTTACCTGCATGCCTTTTTGTGATAAAATCGTTCACACGCCTTACACAGTCTTCCCATAAAGGGTCAAACAAATTCGCTTAGGCTGAAGCTTCTATGCCCTGTCACTATCATACACGATTATTTTGATCAAAAAACAAATTATATCTTTTTGTATCGTCCAATGTACTCCAACCTCTGAGGGCTGGAGCAATGTTTGCACAGTATAGTAAGTCTGATGTCTTACGTACAACAAACCAAGAAAATTCATCTATATAAGACTTGAATCGTTCACCTAAAGAGAGTCCGAAGAAGAATAGAGGAATAATTTGACTGTTTCTAAGATACATACAGCCAAACTTTGCTGTTTGGTAAAATCCGGTGTAGCCATCAGCCAGCCGATACACAGAGCCCCGACACCAGTCAGCTGGTGTGGTTGACGTGTCAACACCATCAGCGACACTCACGAGGCGAGGTGTCACCACCTGAGATTGATGCTGTTCTCTCCTGCCACTCAACGCGCAGATATTTTGGAAAGTTCGTAAGGTACACTACACTGGTGCAATATATTTTATGGTAACTATTATCTAAAGACTAGGACTGTTGCGCTAAGGTAGCCGTCACGCCAGTTTCAACACTTCTCAACAATTACAAGGATCTGGAACTAACGCATTTTACAATCAGAGATATAATAGATATACAAGGCAACCTTAGGCTTCTCTCTTTATATGACGAGTTCTTGCTTGCTTTTGAATATATCTCCCTCTCCGTATGTGTGTGTGTGTGTGTACACTAAAGAAATGTCATATGACGTCTACTCGCGAGACAGTTAACTCAAGAACAGGTAATAACTCCCACAAATATGTAAGGAAAAATGAAATACTTAAACTCGTCTGAGTTCTTGTTGTGTTACATCCACTAATTTCACCGAAATTTATTTATATTTCAACTTGTCGCGCTCAGGTAATGACCGGACGGGCGAACAGGAACTGTTTCCATGTTCTCCTCTGGCATTCAGCATGACGGATGACTTTACAAGACACGGAGACACACGACGTGCGAGAAACATCCCAATAAGTTTCACGTGTGTTGTTTACACAGAGTACTGTATCCAGGCGTTATAACAACAGCACCATGCTGGACCACAAGAACAACGTCAACACAAACATTCATAAAATATATTGATATCAGGTTCAACCATCAAACCCGACGGTATAACTGTAGGTTTTTCCTGTTTCCTAGAGCTGCCAGGTGCTCATGAGTCATAAATATTTTAAGTGTAAAATAACGTCTCGGAACTTACAGACAAGGTACGGACACATCTTGTGTATAAGCTTAGTTCATACAAAGGAGTGTTAGTTCATACAAAGAATTGTTAGTTACAAGAGAGGCAACCTGTGGTGTAATGGTCAGCATGCTCGACTCACAAGCAAGCGGACCCGGGTTCGATCACCCGGCGAAGTGAAACTAAGGGCAAGTTTCTTTACGCCCTTTGCCGCTGTCTACCCAGCAGTAATTTGGGAACCTGGATGTTATTCGATTTGAAGATCGTATTCCGGGGTAATGGTTAGCCAGTGCAGTTGGCAAGTTCTCCGGTCTTCTCGGACTATTCCTTGACACTGGGTCATGCAACTCGTTAACTTAGGGTGTGGTTGTTGTGTTGGCGACAGCTTCTACACTTTAAACAAATTCACGCCTAGGTGGCCCTTGGGCTAGCCATCCTTGTTACAAGAGGGGCAACCATTATCATTATTTTATCAGTTACAAGACTAGCGAGGTCATCCTAAGACTATATCTTGCGCTTGTGAGATCTCACTTGGATTACGCAGCTCAGTTCTGGTCACCGTACTGCAGAATGGATATAGAATCCCTAGAAATAATTCAGAGGAGAATTACAAGACTAATCCCGGGCATTAGGAACCTCGAGTACAGAGACAGGTTAAAGCAATCTTAATTTGCACTCCCACGAGAGACGTAGAGTGAGGGGCGATATGATCGAGGTGTAGAAATGGAAGTCAAGGCTAAACAAAGGTGACATTACAAAAGTACTCAAACTATCCAACCAGGAGCGAACTCATAACAATGGTTTTAAATTAGACAAATTTAGATTTAGGCGCGAAATAAGTAAACATTGGTTTGGAAATAGAGTAGTGGACGAGTGGAACAAGTTACCAAACATCATCATTAACTCAAATACGCTGGATAGCTTCAAACATAGGTTGGATGGATATATGAGCAATAGGGGTCGGGTGTAAATGGGACTGAACAGTATGGGCCAATAAGCCCGCTGCAGTTTCCTCCATTCTTATGTTCTTAGTTACCGCTATCGTGTGGTGTACCATGGTGACCATCACACCGACAGTCTGTTGTTAGACTCGTGGACTGACTTGATGACAAGCGATATCTATAGTAACAAATCCTGACCTACATCTGCTTTACGTTGAGTACATGACTCTGGCAGGCAGCCCGTCTATCACCCACCAGCTTCACCTAACAGTGCCGGGTGTCTGGTGGAGTGAGTCTCGAGAGCCGAAGTTTTGTTATTATTTTTAACGGGATTCGATCGTTACAATGACGCCATGTTCACAGATTGCCTCGTTGTGATAGACTGTTTATTTTTGGCTGCAGTAACATTGACCTATATTTCTGTTGACTGTGTATGTAACTCATACAAGTAAGAATAACATCATCAACATTACGTCTCTACACATCTCGGAGCATCACATGACAGGAGCAATAAGATCACATTAATTAAAACTAAAGAGCTGGTGAATATCCACATTAAAGAAACGCTATTAAAAGGGCATGGTTTTTGTATTATGTGATTCAACTTCAAAAATATTAAAGAAAAACTAAATTATATAAAAAAAACCATCAGTTACAATAACAATAAAAGCGAGTCGTTATTGTATCACGCTTACTTTTGTGCCAATACTTTTGACGTTTTCTTTTTTATGTTGTGAAAGGTGGGCAATACAATACTGTGTATCAAATGTTTGTTTACTTTTCTTACAGTGCCAGTGACCTTCCTTGCCACAGTGATAGAGTTGGTGACTCAGGGTTGACCAAGGTGGTCAATTTCGATAGATCAGTGCCACAACCTCCATGTCTCTATTTCACTCTTGGACCTTTGACTTCCGTGTCTTAGTGGGTCATAAATCTTTGACTTCCGTGTTCCAGCAACTAACCATCCTTTAACTTCTTTGTTTCAGTAGTGGACAAATCCTTTATTTCCGTGTTTCAGTAACCATATACCTCGTGACTTCAGTGTTTCAGTAATTGTCTTCCCTATACCAGTGGCTATTTCATCCTTGACTTCCGTATTTCAGCAGTCAACTAACTCCTGGGTTTGTGTTTCAGTGACGTACTCAGTGGAGTGCACGGGGCCGACGATGGTGGTGCGGGTGCCGGTGGACGGTGTAAGGGGCGTGGAGCTGGACAAGTGGACGGAACTGCCGGGATGTGGTGCCCAGCGTGACGACTCCCACTACACCCTCACGCTACCCCTTGACGATGACCTCGCCTGCGGCACCACCAGGGTCAGGAACAAACTCACGGTGAGGAGACCTTAACCACAGTACAGTGTAACGTCTGCAGGGTTCTGACTATCGTTGTTCTATTTCTTCGCTTTATCCATTTAGCATTTTTTTCTTCGTTTTATCCACTTCTCTTAAGGTTTCCAGGGGGTGTAAGCATTGTTTCTTCTCTTCCCTTTTCTGTTTATCCATTCAGTTTCGTTTTGTTTACTCATCTTTCTATTCCATCAACAAGAAACACAAAAAAATTACTGAAAGGTCACTTCTCTCCTCATAACCTATTCTAGTGGTTTACCATGGGCCTTATGTGTCCCCCAGGGCTAGTAGTGACCCCCAGGGCTAGTATTGACCCCCAGGGCTAGTAGTGACCCCCAGGGCTAGCAGTGACCCCCAGGGCTAGTAGTGATCCCCAGGGCTAGTAGTGACCCCCCATGGTTAGTATTGTCCCCAAGGCTATAAGTGTCCCCAAGACTAGTGTCCCCCAAGGCTATTAATGTCTCCAAGGGCTACTAGTGTCTCCTAAAGCTAGTATTGTCGCCCAAGACTAGTAGTGTCTCCCCAGACTAGCAGTGTCTCCCAAGGCTAGTAGTGGCCCTCATTATAACTCCCTACAGTATACTCGTTATTATTTCTTATTGACATTGGTGGTGTTGGCCTTGGCAGGGAGATACGCTCTACTATCACCGGGTGGCGATCACAGCAGCTCACGGGCGGCAGGTAGTGCTGGTCAAGTGTCGTGCGGCGCTTGACAACTCTACCATGAGCAACATCGTCAAGAGAGATGTCCTCCCACCGGAGTTTGTTGAGCCAGAGTACGTAGTGGTGTGTTCTTGAGTACTGTTGTCGGTGTTGAGTATACTGACGCACCTTAACCATCGATATTTTGTTGGTGGTGCTGTTCTGTAATCCATCCTGTATCAATGTTACCAACTGGGATTATAGCCAAAATTACCTTTTTTTTATATAAACAAACAAAATCTTCTCTGTAGATAATTATTTTCACTCTTATACAAATGGATAAAAAATAAGTTCTCTCCCTGCAGTTACATCGAGATCACGTCTGAGGTGACAGGCACAGCACCCATCCCCATCCTGGGTGTGGGCGTGAGGCAAGACGGTGAGCTGGTTGGAGGCCAGATTAATGTTCGACCTGGCACACCCCTCACCATGGAGGTCAGTGAATAAAATATGTACAGTCCAATGAAGGCTATATAAGGAATCACCTCTTGACCAGATATACATCAGATAATGCAACAACATACATAACATTACCAGTGTTTCACGAAGACGCGTGTTGTCAGGTGTTCCTGGATGACGCTTCAGCTGGCACTTACGGCATCCTGATGAGCTACATGGAGGTGACCGACACTGAAAACAAGAGAGAGACCATTATCTTCAACGGGTATGTAGGGGAGGGGGGAGGCATACAGTACCTTAACAGCACCTGCACTCTTTGAATTAGGAAATAATTAAGTTGTAATAAAATAAGCTGCTAAGTTGATATCTAACACTATTCTCCTTTCCTAATGAAGGCAGTCGAGTGCAAAATTGCCAGTCACACTGTCTCCTTGTGTACCGGGGTCTTAGTATTCAGCGTCCTGTATTCTCACTTAACCTTAATGGACCAGCAGGTTTATGGGACCACACACTCTATAGATCAGGGTTTTTTTTTTTTTTGGGGGGTCATTTACTCATTAAATAAACATCACCATGGCATATGCGTAATAAACTACAGTATTATTGAAAGGAACTCTTTCATATGTTTGTTCGGTAATTATTTGTATCTTGACTGTCACTTGTTTGGCGGACAATAATTCTGGTCTTAATTGACTCAATATTTGATGCTTGATGCGGTGGAAATCGTCTTTTTTGTGGAAACGTATTACTTTTCAACTTTCGAGTTGAGAATCAAGTAAAAAAAACGCGTTTGTTTTACGTTGCTACAACCTAACCTTGACTAACCTAACCAATCATAACATAACCTAATCCTTAAACCTTACTAATCATAACCTAACCTAAGCAATCCTGCGAGTTTTCACGCAGTGAAGTCACAGAGTGGCTGGTACGGAGAATGGTCGTGAGTTCAGTCTCAAGAACTTTCCCTGCTGACAAACACCGACTTCCCTAACAAAAATCACACCAAGGTATTAATGGCAAAGGTGTAGATAACGGCTGCCACCAGAAGGAATTGTCCGAATTGGTTGAAAAATTTTTACGCGCTAATATCATATTAATACAAAAATGGAAACAATGCATAGAACCTAATAGAACCTGACCTAACATACCCATACAGTAGGTTGGTTATGTTAGGTCAGTTCTATTAGGTTCTATGCATTATCGTGTTAATTTGTGTTAAACAACTTATCTTAATATTGAGGTTGATATAAATCAGCAATGGCGAGGAGGAATTCGTGGAAGCGTTCACCATCATTTATAGGAAACATCTCTTGAAGGGGGATTTAGCGAGGTAAACAACAAAAATGGCGCCGGGAGAATAATTGCGAAGCAGGATAGAGTAAATAAAAAATAATAATACTTAAAATCATAATAGAAAGTTTCGGTTCGGTTAATTGACTTAAAATCATCAAAACAACAAGTACAGCAAAAATAAGGAAAATCATCAAACAACTTCTGGTGGTAGCCGTTATCTACACCTTTACCATAATTAATTTCAACCATTTCGGTTTCAGTTTTCTCAATATTTGTTGCATCAAATATTGAGCAAAATGAGATAAAAATTGTCCGCCAAACTAGCAAGTCAAGATCCAAATATCATCCGTTGGTTCATGCCGGACTCAATTTGGGACTATGAGTGAGGCCACATTAGTTTACATTTTGCCACCATTGTCATCAAGAAACACTGATCTAGTGAGGCCGCACCCTACCTCATTTAATCTTGTCGATCATATGTTGGCGGCAAAATGTACGCAAGTGTAGCTGCACCCGATGGCATAAAAAACTTACTTAAATGCGTGTAAACCTGCAGAAGACTGTCTGAAGCAGCGAGTACTTCCCTGAGCTAGTCATGAAATGCAATGTTTACCAAAGGGCAAAACAGGGTGGGAAACGTTTTCAGATTATCATACAGTAGGGTTAAAATTATTGCTCAAAATTATCGTACATTTATATTTTATCAGTAAAGTCTTTTACAGATGAAGGAGTTAGGGCCAATTGCAAGAACGGTTATGGAGTGTACGACGCCATTTACGGTGACCTTCTTGCCCTGGGCTTTTTCAGCAATATCGCCTTTAACACATGGAATTCTGCACTTTTCGAAGCTTTGGAAGAGTCTCGAAACAAGTTTCCTAGTGGGAATTATCAGCTAGTGCTGTACTCAAAATATCGAAACTTCGAGATCCCTCCAGAGCTTCAAAAGGGTGGTATTCCTGAAACAAGATCAGGGCAAGAAGGTCATCGTAAACGGCGTCGTACACCCAACGACTGTTCTTGCAATTGGCCCTTAGTTAAAATTGCATTATTTTATACTTGTCCTATTTACCCCCAGCTCAAGCATGGGACAATTAATTAACTTAGCTTAACTAGTTAGCTTTTGAAATAAGTTTAACTTAAACGGAATTTTGGTAAATTAATTGATTAACTTCGATTAATTATCAATTAACTCCTGAGAAAAATAACAAATAATATATAACACACCAACCCTTGTGCCCAGTGAGTATCCCTACTGTTGACTTTCCTATACAGTACACGAAATGTTAGTAGCCAGACTGGAGAGGGTGATGCCGCCCTGCCTGCTGCCTCTCAGTTACTCTGTTGTCATTGCAGTGTCCATGTGATCAACACGCTCAAAGGGCGATGTGTATATTATAATACTCTTTACAAGTTGAAACATGAGACAAACATTTTCGTATACACATTATGGAAATGAACATAATGAGGTTAACATGGTGTTTGCGAAAGAAAGATGCAATTGTTATGAACGGTAATTTGGTTAATCATAATTTGTGTAACTGACTTGAACTTGGCAGTTAGCATTGAAAAAGTTTGAGTTTAAACTTTCAGTGATTATTATTTATTTGATACAGAATTCGTATCTTATCATGATATAATTTTTCAAGTAAGAAAGTCCAACTTGGTTTTGCATACTGAAATAATATTATTATTTACGTGAAAAACTGTTGAGCAAAAAATAAAAAAGCCAAGAATATATTATTATTTTACCTCAAGACTTATTTATACCAAGGAAGTAGTGTGCCAGACTCAGCTTGGCTATTCAAACTACAGTATTCATTGACTTCTGGAAAACATTTACAGGATATTAAGTTATTTAATCCACATAAAAATTCTCCCAAGCAAATTTGACACAGACTGGTTAACTTAATCGAAAGAATCTCAACTTAATTAGTTAATGTTAAAAAAATTAGGTTAACCTAACTTGACTTAACTGATATATATATACTGTATATATTTTTTTTTTTTAAGGCGGAAATCTACCCCAGGTTAAGAACCCTTGATCTCGAGTGTAATATACTGTAATTGATATTATTAAGACTGAAATTAGAATCAACAAACCAGTTACAATCCTCATTCTTCTATTCTATTTTTTTCTGCTAATACAAAACTCTTACAGATGTTCAGTTGACCCCGTGTTGTTTGACAACTTTATAACAACTACTGGTGATTACGTGTCTGCCAAATTCCGCGCCTTCAAGTTCCCCGAGACCAACTACGTGTTGTTCCGTGGAACTGTTGATGTTTGTCTGGACAAGTGTCAGGGGGTAAGTTAATGTTGTATCTCTTGAACGTTTCTGATAAATTGTAAAGTTTGAATTTTGTACAATACAGTTTATAGTACATTATTATAGGTATATACATTTAAATTTAAATAATTTTAGATCAAAACATAAACAATTATAACCTCTCCTAAACTTAACTAAATACAAAACTTTAATAATTGACATTCATATAGTATGACAAAACTCAAAATTAGAGGATATTACATATAGGTAGAATATTATAGTAGAAGGAATGTAAAGAGAGGAAAAGTTGGTAGTGTGGCCGGTTAGTTATTTACACTGTCAATACACTTATCTTATCTCATATGTCAATACACATATATTACGTATGTAGTACGTTCTTAAGGGACAACTTGTTAAACACCACTTCGATACAACTATATTTGTTAATTCACTAAATGACACAGAAACATCAATATTATATCGGAGTTCTTAGCACATTATTTTTACGTTACTGGACACTGACTCGGACACAAATATGAAAGGAATACACTTCCCACAGTAGGTAACTCACTCTAGGGATCGTTCTGACAAAGACTCACGTGTAACCAGGCACGGGAAACGTAGGTGAGTTTGGGAAGTTTGAAGTTTACATACTACAGTACTGGGTTCAGACATAAGGTCAAGAGTCTTGAGAAGATGATGGATGTGTAGACGGTATGTGAGTGATTCATACCCTGGATGATGTTGGTACCCATTGGGATGAAAAGGGAGTGGAACATGATCGGAGAAGAGATTGGTGGTATTGGTATGGTTGGTGGTGACTTGGCGTTGGTCCAATGCTGAAGACTACTAGGAGTACTCTGGAGGTCACCATATTTCCAACAAGCAAATGTATCCTTCAGGAAGCCTTAGGCGAGTGGCTGAAAAGTGGAAACATTCCACCTTAAGCATACAGCTTGGCGATATTCGATAAAGAAGTCTATATAGACCAAGCCACGAGACTTCACCGAATCCCAGGGTTGATGGCTGTTGATAATTAATTATGGTATGGATAACTAAGTCAAATGCTTGGTGAAGTCTGAGAAGATGAGTGCCTTAAAACTGTTATGCTTCTCTTGATTTTTGTTTCAGGTGATACACCACACTTAATAATGAGGGCGGTCTGGCCAGGGTGAATGTTTAACACAACACCTTCAGGTCAATCAGAGCCTCAGCTTTAATGTGGAATGGACCTAGGTCATTGTGACAGAACAGTTCTACCACCCCTACAACATGCATCAGTACACAGGCAGTGAAAAAGATGCCATCTCTCTATAGTGACAAAAATGTGGACTTTGACTGAACTGACTGGTGACGACCTCATCAAACTTGCAAGTCAGCAAGGAGTCTTGACTGGGCCAGGGCGGGGTGGGTTAGCACAGTCTGCCCATACACATGAGGTCCTATTTTGATTTCTGAACATAGTGACCTCGTCTTCGGCTTTGGAAGATGTTCAAATACTTTAATCGCAAATGACACTGCTGTCTGGGTATCTGTCTCCATTTTCATATCAGTCCAAAAATGTTCCTTCAGTGGACCATCAAGACCAGAGAGGTATAAGTTACCATTGAGAGAAATGGTAGAACAGATATTATTATAATTCTGCATTTTTATTGACTGTATTCCATAGAATTTTTTTTTATCTATAACATATACTGTACTTGCTCCCATGCATTATGTCTCCCAATATTGATCAATATATCTCTACAGATTGCATGCAGTAATGGTCAACTCGGCTTTGGAAGGCGACGACGTGGTGTTGACAGCAAACCTGCTGACCCTAACAAGATCTTTGAAGTCACAATGATGACTTTCTTGAAGGTAGACGAGAAAAACAATGATACCAACAAGGCAAACTTTGAAAGTGTCGCTGAAGACATGGTAGAGAGAATCGCTGAGGACGTAGGGGCCGTGGAACAAGCACTGGCTGACGCAGAGGCTTCCCGATCCTGGAGTCAGGCAGTAGATGAGCGAGACGTCCCATACAAGTCCAGTGAAGGAAACGAACCTGTCTTCATCTACTACAACAATGGCCACAGTCACACTCAGAGTTTGATCTTGGTTATGGCCGCTGCACTTCTTGTTTACTTCTGCCACTAATTCATTACAATAACAGTTCTTAAAGAGACAAACCTGTGTGTTGACAAAAACTTTCAACCTAGACTCTGATATCTGGGTTACAGCTCTAATCTGACTATTTTGGCCTGTAAATTTATTTTTTATATTACAATTAAAATCCACCACATACCCACATAGGTTTACAAAATGTTTGCATTTATTTGTCGCCACAAGTTTGGTCGGCTACAACAAAATGATAATCATCACGGACGACTAGTGTGGCGATACTTCCCTAAGCTTTAAATTCATGGTTTCTTTATGAATAATTGAAAGTATGGCATTTTTTTATGTAATTTCTAGTTTTGTACATTTAAGGCTAATTACAGTACTACTGACTTATCTCCACACGACTGATACTCTTTGTTCAGTCTTGAAGTCTTTAATTATCTAAACAATAGTGTATAATAAAAGTCACTTTTAATAATTACAAATAACTTCTGACAATTATCTTGTATCACTTCACATAATCTTGTAGTCGTTTATGAGTTTTCTTTTCAAGTTCGTGTGCCACAAAGGTGTGTATCCTTAAGGGATTTTCTAAGAAGTGTCATAGTTATATAAGTGCAATGTGTCTTCCTGACACTCTGCTCTGCCAAGTGATCTGTTACTCTTAATAAATGTACATTTTATGGTTTAAAAGTCTGTAAGATGACATGAGGCCTTGACTCTGTGTGTTACACTTGACACCAACAAGCATTTGTTGTCAAGGTGTTCTCATCTTACTATTCTACCTTTTATCTCCATCCATGTTATGTCATGACTGAGACGTTAATCTGTTCAACATGTTTAATTTAAGTATTGGAATATCTTAACACTTTGATAAATTGTCCTTTTCAGAAAAGTATTGCAATACTGAATTTTTTTGTATGATAACCTGATCTGTTGCTACTACTACTATGGTGAAGGGAGAACACAGTATACTACTGTGTCAGTTTGATCTATCTGTTGCCTCTGCTCATAATGTTGCCTCCCAGGCTGCCCTCATCCTTCTGACTTGTGGTGCGAGTTTTGTGATGGATGATGACTGTTAGCAGATACTGCAGGATTTACTGAGATACTCAGTACTGCCCTAAAGTGTGGCAACAAGACCTGAGAGTCCGGGTGTAGAGCAGTCTGGTCAAGACTTGGCAGTGCCACGGACAGTTGCAATAATGACATATCTCGTCATAAACTGACCTTGACACTGAAGTCTGCCACCGCTGGCCTGAGGGCCATCATGTAACAGCAACTAACAAAGTGCTTGTACAGCTGTACAGTAGAATAAATATCATATAACATTCTAATGTAAAATAAACTGTGATAGTTTCTTAGACTTTTATTTCATACATGAACCATGTAAGAACATGTTCTTCACGCACTTCCTTAAGCAAGTCCTATTGTAAACCAATAATATACTGTATCTGAAAAAGAAAGCTGTTAAATAGAGGCTAAATAAAACATAATATAAACTTTAATAAATCTTAGGTGAAGCATTCATAATAATAATAATAATAATAATACTGTAGTAATAATAATAATAATAGGGGTCCCTAGGAGTTAGTAACACAGTACAGCAGCAGTAAGATGGAGTTAATTTGTGTTAAATGACATACAGTATTTCTATTAAATCAATACATCCCAACCAACATAAGAATACTGTATTTAGGGATTATCACCTCCATCACAGATCCTGACCAGACAGGAAGTTATGAACACACCTTAAAGAACAGATATTTACTTCAATTTCAGCACCTGTTATAGAATGTAGGTAAACTCACCTCTGTTCAAGATTTAGAGTTTTGCACCTTAGTTTGCTCCTCAGTTACTTGACACCAAAACTCGACAGAAACACAACACAAAGTAATGAAGCTACCAGTCCATGTTGCACACCACTATTATCTTGGTACTTTATAAGTTTGACAGTCAACAAACTCTATTAATATTAGTAATGTTATCATGATTGTTATTATTATCTCAAGTGTTGAAGTAATGATGACCAAGTGTCGTCAATAACAAGCAGGTAATCTATTTACATAATGAACCTGTATGAGTAAAGTTAACAAAACATTAATATGTATATGTACAGAGACTTTGGAACTTTTTGATGCCCATTCAAGTGAGAAAACTCTTCTTGATGTTTCTTACACATACTGAAACCATTTCCCAGTAAGTAAGGCGACCTTGTGGTAAGGTGAGGCCCGGGGCAGTGATCCAGGGAGTCACCAGCCATAAGTATTACGTATCAACTATCACGATCACCTCTGACCACTACCCACAATACACCTGTGCCACGTCACACAAGTTAACATAAAAAGATTATCACCTTTATACTGCTTGATGTTGTGGGAATTTAATAAGTATTTTCTTGCTCCATAAAAATACCTTGAGGAGCTTCATCTTAGTGTTTTTGATTAACTTAGAGCTGCTACAGGTTCATCATTCTCCTCTTATTTACACATACAAACTGTTGAGCAATATGAGATCACATTCAAGGTTGAAGAAAAGTAATTTCTATCTTAGAATGCAATTAATAAGAGCTTTATATCAAGCTGAAAATATGATTCATGAAAACCCAAACATCTTACTCGGTATAAATTCAGATAATGTCAAGCACGTGATTTCTGTACTACTATAGTTTGTTAGTCATAAGTAACCCACATGCTGTTCTTCTTACTTCAGGAGATGTGAGTATCACTATTCTAAAGTTTACAGATGAGAGTATCACATATTTACTGCACTAACTAAAGTTAAAGATAAACAGTTCTAAATGTCACCTATTTTGTGTACAACAGAATCAGCCAAGCTGTACACAAGCAAACTTGTCCTTAACATGAAAACAAGCAGCAGTTCTACTAAGAAGTCAATATGACCGGGAATATTATCACCATCGCTTCTTCACTAAAGAAAGGTTTATCCAGTACGACAGTAAACATTACTGTGTTCTGGAATAATACATATGAAGTAGTCATATAAGGCAATGATAAGTTACTCACTCTAAGAGGTATCACTTACATATCATGTGACTCACAAACAGGGTGTGGGGGTGGCACTGTACACCTTATAGTGGTAAACATTGCAGTTGACGATTTTCTCCTGACCTCAAATGACCAAAAAGAACAAGAGTGATCCAAAACTGACCTGGGGTTGACAGCATATATCTCCCACATAAAAAGAAAACTACTATATTTCTCCTAATAATTGAAACCTGGTCAGTATATACTATCAAATGCAGTATATTATAGTAGCTATCCTTGATACACCTGTACACACTTGTTGAGGCCGCTAATGAAACACCTTCTGTCACCCGTGCTATGGCTCAGTTCATTCTCTCACCTCCCGTGCCCTACACTTCAGCTTGCCTCCCTTTACAAACAATGTAATTATCTTCGCCGCACATCTAAGCCACCGTAGTCATAATTACCGGTATTTCATATTCCACCTAATCACAATACCAAATCCCCCTCAATCATCATCATCCTTCAAACTACAACCCCACACTTCAAGAAAAAATAAATAAAAAATTATCCCAGGTGTCTTCCCCAACCAAGCCTCATTCACTACCCTGGTAACCTTAACTCGACTCTCCTTATATTAGTTTCTCATCTCTTACAACCATCTGTATTAGATATGGTTGTTGCTTTAACATCCAGTAACTTCTAATTCTTAAAACAATCATCTTCAATTGCTTCTTACAGCCATCCACTTTATAGGTTTTTGCATTTGACACATTATATCTGTATTTTAACTCCTGACCTTACTGTCCCTTTAGCAAGTTTAGTTATTAATTTCCTTGGTTCTCTCAATCTACCTTGCTCTTACTCTCATTCTCCCTCTCGTTCTTACCCTAGATATTTTACCTGTTGGTTTCACTCTGGCATAATTAATTAGGTGTACCTGTAATTCCACACGACTACAACAACACCTTCCCTGGCATGTGGTAGCAGAGTTACCGACAATATTAAGCCTAACTTCAGGTCCCTAAAACTCTCACTGTCTTGTAAATACTTCCAATAATTGGTACATCATTAGTTACTGGAATGTAAACACACACATTCAAATCTAGCAAAGAACTCAGGTTAAACTGTTACTTTTTTTTAAAGAAACTCTAACTTGGTCCCCATGTCAAACTGTACAGGGTAATATTACAGTAAAACACCGGAATAACGGAATCCAGTAGACCGGAATTTCAAGGTTCAACATAAATGCCCTAAAGAGATATTATTAACAATGTTGATGATAATGATGATGATAATGATGATAAACAGACTCAGAGGTGGAGGAGCTCGCAGGGCAGATGAGTGTATAGTACCATGGCCAGCATCACCAAGACCACCACGGTGCCTGACACAGCTCTCTCATGCTGAGGTAATAACAATAACACTTGTGTATATTAGGTGGTTCTAACAATAACATATATATATATATAAGTATGACCTTAGAAACTATATCAAACCCACATAACAAGTTCTGACAAAGTTTCTAGTTTCATTTTGATATAATACAATTATTTGGAGTACATGTAATGAAATTTCCCCATTCACATAAAGGCTCTCTCGCATACAGTCCGTTATTCAGGGGTTTTACTACACATTAGACTGTGTTAAAGGCTTAAGTTGTTTACACTGTGAAAGGTTTAGTGCTACTGGTCAGTGTGCAGGGTTTTAGTACTACCACACAATGTTAGTGTCACTCCAGAATGTAATACTAATCTGTGTAGAGCGCGGCAGGGGATCACGTCATGGCCTTGAGGGTGTCAACCACAGTGTGTATAGATGGGCGGGCCTTAGGAGACAGCTGCCAGCACCCAGCAAGGAGGCTCTCTAGGTCAGCCGGCGTCCTGGGAGGTGCCGTACACTCCAGCTCTCCCCGCTCTGAACTGGCAATTACCTAAAACATATCAAGTTTTTCTTATACATAAATTACATTCAACACGACATTGCACATCTTCAGTTACAGTAGTTTTTAGCCTTTGGAATACATCTTCATAACTAATTCCATATACTTATACTGTACACACCATCATATTTCTGATTCTACAAATCTCCTGCAGGTGACTGTACATGTGATGATTGATGTAAATCTGAGTCTTCTTGTCTTATGAAAAAAAAAGTTGAAGGGCATATGAGAAGTAAGCTGGGGACAAGTGAAGGGAGTAAAGTCAAGAGTAACAGAGAGTGAGGGTGAACGAAAGTGTAGCAATGTTGGTGAATGATGAAATATGGAATTATGTGACAGCATCATGGATCAGATGTAAATTAAGAAATGAATGAAAGATTATGAATATTATCTTAGTGTCATAACAGGCAAGTTCATATAGCACCAGAGATAATTAATGGTAAAAGGTTAAACTAAAAGTAAAATGATGGCAAGAAAAGAAAGCTAGATAATAATAAGTGCATTTGCACTGTGGGATGAGAAGAGCAAGGAAGAAAGAGAGAAGTTTTTAGAAAGATTTGAATAACTGTATTGAAAGCTTTAGTATGAGTGATAGACTAAAATTATTCTCGATATAAATGCAAGAGTCAGAGACAAGGATGTGGAGGGGATTAAGGGGAAATTTCGAGAATCCAGAATGAATGGGAAGGAAGAGAGGATTGATATTAGATAGAAGAATGAAAAGAATATTGACTGGTGTGAATGAATTATGATGGGGCAGCACAGGAGTGTCTGACCATATGGAAATCTTAAAAGTTAGAAGGGAGTAAATTTGTCGATTATATTGTATCAGTGAATATATCAGGTGGTTGTTACTGAGAGAATTGTAGCAAAATAAGAGTTAATTAGGGGAGAAGAAGTGTGAGTTCAGGAGAGGAAAATGATGTATAAATCACATTTTTTTTAACAGCATAACACGAGTGAAAATATTCTGGAGGGGAAGACTTAACTTGAGGCATTCATAGATTTAGTAAATGTACAAGATAGAGCAGACAGAAGAGAAGTGGTGTGGGAAGCATAGACAACGTAAGAAGTTAGTTGCTGACTGTTCTCTGGAGATTACATAGGAATAGTGATGCATGTATTAAAGTTTTATCAGGATGAGGGAAACTGACCCCAGTGAAAGCAGAATTATGACAGTGATGTGTAATGTCAATATTGTTTAATAATTTTTTACAGAGGGAGTAGTAAGAGAGGGGAAGAAAGTATACCTGAAAGAGGTATAAGTCTGGGGGATAATGTCACTGTATGTTCAGAGATTGCAGATTAGTATGTTTAGATACAGAGAATGTCATACCTGGTGATCGGAGAGATGGGAGTGTGGTATTGCTGCCTGAGTAAGCACCTCCCACACCAGCCACGCCCATGAAAACACTGAGCTCTTCATGCTGTATTCCTCCTCCATCAGAGCCTCTTGTGCCAGCCATCTTACTGGCAGCACCTATGAATATGTAAGTTATATTCTCAGGTTCAGGTGAATTAATTAAAACCAAATGTGTATTTTCACACACTCAGTATGTAAGCCCAAACCATTTGTCAGAGAAAGTCTTCAATTTGGCATGATTGTGTGCAGTAATAACAAAGCGGCTAATCTGCCTACACTACTTAATACACTACAGTACAGTATCGAGATATAAAAATGTGAGTCTCTTAATAATTATATATGATAGAGCAAATGAGAATAGCTAAGTAGAAAAAGGAAGATGGTTGAGAAGAACTTGGAGAGAAAGAAAAGATCAAGAGAGCCACATTTTTTGGTAATTACTGTACAATAACTGGCAGTGTGTTGTCTGCCACTTCATAGACTCTTATTACCTAAAGATAATATTGGCAGACCAAGGACTGTGACCTTCCTCACCACAACATGGTCTAGCCCTCAGCTCTTTGGTCACCATGTATCATAAACTAAATCCCTCAATTCAACAAAAACTAAACACAGAAACTGTTTGCCTTTTAGTAATTCTCCATTATCAGTACCTGGTTCCTGTAGGTGCAGTACTCAGCAGCGTATGCATCACGGGTGAGGGCTGGGGAGGCTAGCTTAACCTGTAGTGTTGACGTTATGAGACAGTTACGGGCTGCCACGTCCCTATGGGTGTGTCGCCGACCACTCAGGTACTCCAGACCCTCAGCTACCTGCACCAGGGGGAATAGTAAAGTTGGCGAGATAAAATATATTAATCTATAGTGTATAATACCACTCACCTTTATTATATCTCATATATTATGTTATAAAAATATCTATAAGTCGCTAATCATGTGAGAGTCAAACCTGTAGTGAGAGATTGAGGCACTGGGTGTGTGTGAGAGGTGGTGGTCGAAGGCTGCCCAGGGGTCGAGGTGACTCCTTCCTTGTTGCTAACAGGAACTGCTTCATGTCACCCTGTGAAGAAACAATTCACAAATTATAATCTTGGTTCAGTTCTTCATAAATATAAGATACTAAGTGTATATGTGAGACTGTAAATATAATGACCTTTACACAACTCCAAGTTGTACTATGGGAGGGATGACATGACAGTACATGAACAGCCAGTCTGAGGTAATGATAAACTGTTGTGCAAGTTATCAAACAAAACAAACAAAAAACAATATAGGATTTATAAGATTTCATATTCTTAAGTCCTGAGGCTTTGCGCTGTGACCCAGTTTATGTACAGTCACCCACAAAGGTCCTTTCCTCTCTTCTCCTGAACCATGAACTCTGAGATTCAGATTCAAAGCATTTATGGACTGAATAATGCATTACTGTTTATTGCTTTGGGTTCACAAATCTGAATCTCACGGTTCGTGGTTCAGAGGTTAGAGGCAACAGGACGTTTGTGGGTGACTAAACAGTTGTCCTAAAAGTACTTTGATACCATACAACTCATTTTTTGTCAGATGGTAATATCTGGCAACTATACAATTCCTCATTATTCTGGGGCAATAGTGTACATTGTACTGTATACTGTATTATAAAGTAAAAGATTTTAAAAAAAAGTTGAACATGATTATTTTTTATATATTTAACCATATACAGTACAGTAGATCACTTTTATAAGAGAAAAATAAAGTTACAAAATAACTAAATACCCTGTACAGTACTGTACACGCACAAAATAATATGAAACGTATACATTTTTCGTACATTAACACTGAGGTTTTAACATATATGAAAGTACATTTTTTTTATTCAAAACATGCTAAAATTACTGCTAAATTACTGGTTTTGTCATTACTAATCTACATGTTTTATGAAAGGCTAATTTGGCTCCTCGTAATTACTGTCAACCAGTTGATCAATTGGATTGCATATTTTACACGACATATGATTAATTTAAGGCAGGATAGTGTTAGTTTAGTTCTGCTTTCTTTGCATTTTAACAAAAACAAAGATGAAGTCAAACTGCTTTGTTTAACCTGTGAACAACAACATAAGAGTCAAGAAACATCACACACCAGAGCACAAGACTACCGGAACTGTGAGTCACAATGACAACCCTACACAATACACCCGCTACTCTAGTGCCCGACGCGTGAGTGTAAGTAGTAAAATTCTGAATGAGGGTAAATAATGCACAAGAAGACAATATGACTTCATAACCTTATTAGAGAAGAGAGGATGGAGAGAGCGAGACAACGAAACAAATAAAATTAACAGAAGGGAAATATAATTAAGACAAGATAGACGAGTTATCATCTTAAGAGTCCAAAGAAAAGTTATTCTTTCTAGTTGTTGATACATCACTAAATAATGAATGTTTACAATCTTTAAGTATGACGAGCAAAACATGATGAAAACGAGGTGTGATGACAGGATTATTGGTGTGGATAGAGGTCACCAGGACTGGGGGTGTGACCCACTGTTGGATGAGTGAGCAATTACTAGTACGGATATGTGGAGGTTCTGGAAACAGTCACGTTCCTATGTGAGAGCAACGTTTATATCTACGTTCATGCTAACACCTAGTTTGGCCATAACAAAAATTAATTTTTGCTCATTAAATAAAATCAAAGAAAATGCTATTATGTACCTGTAGTACTCTCCTAGTGTATAGTTTTATGGCATTATGTTAAGGACTTCACTCATAACATTGCCAAGTTTCTTAACATGAACTCAACATTTTTAAAGGAGTCAAAATACTTTCGGGGCAACTTTACCAATGAGTGATTATGCGAGCTGTTAGAATCTCACTAAACCGATAAATCCCAGCATAAGAATGTACTAATTCTGACAAAGTAACATGACCTACCCAGTCAGTGTATTGTGTGACGAGGAGGTGAGGTGTGTGGGAGGTGCAAAGACCAAGGGTGGTGACCACATTGATGTGTGAAGGTCCACCAAACATTGCTGCCTCTCTACACACCTCCGCCAGTAGTGCCTCGTCTCTCGTGCTCACCACCTGCCACCAGAACACAAAAGTAATGAATTTAGATGCATTGTTATAAGGAAAATCCCAGAGACTAAATTATCATATAAAATTATTATTCTTTATAACCCTTTTAGAAACTACTCAGTAATGTTACCTTGACCATGACGAGAGCCTCCGGGTCAGGAGGTGCGTCCTCCCCGTCACACTCCTCTGAGGAGGTCCTCAGCCTTGCTAACTGTACATCACCAAACTCTCCACGACCTGAGGGGGAGAACCACTCACTGAAGTCCAAGAGCAAGATAATGGTGCTGTTGAAACACCTTAATACTGTACAGTACAGTATTGTGTTTGAAGGGCAATGTCATCATACATCACTATCAAATTAATCATCTATTGTTTATGTCTTTGTACAGTTACATGCAATAGTTATGCAACACACTTCCCCTCATATTTTAGTTCCATCTGCCTCTCCTCCACCAGACTCATCAACCAAGTTTAGAGGTAACTAGAGTAATGTAAAAACCTCTCTGCATATTGCAGATTCCACAGTCGTTATCAGAGTGAATATGCAGGGAGAAAGTGTCGCATGAGTGTTGCTCCTGACTGTACTCTGATCTCTCTCTCTTTCACATACACACAATAGTCTTGCTATTGACTCTGCCTCTTGAGCAGCAAAGACTCAATAACAATACTGTACTTGACAAATCTTGAAAAAAATAATGATTGCACAGTATGAATTCAAATGTGTGAATAGAATGACGAATCACTGAGTAGGTACAAAGACAGGCAAAAAATAAAACTACAAAAAATAATGAAGAGACAGGGAAGTACAGTACATCCTTCCTGCTGTGACCTGGTGGTTGTAAAATACATTAGTTAAATACAACAAATGAACAATGGCTGCCAAATCACTATTTTTATCTGATTTTTTTTTTTATGTGCATCAAGTGCCATGATACTTAATGTTTGTACTAAATATGAATTAATTTACAGTACAGCGAATGTGAGCTACAGCCTGTATAGAGTTTTTATGGAACACATCTATGGGATACTGTAAGACCTGAGGATGTTTACTGTACCCCAGTCTGAGTGACACCACACAACAAATGCTGAGTATAACAGTAAACACTTCTGTCACAAAAGAGCCTCGAGCAGCAACTAACTTACGACATTTAAAATATAAAATTTTGCTTAATTTCTCTTCTGTGATTCTATAAGAAATAAAGCAATAATGTACAGGTAACTCTGAAACGTGTTTAATTACTACAGTGTACAGCGGTATTTTATTTATGAATAAGATGTCATTATTACAGTCTTATGCTTTTGTCTGTGCACAGTTTGAAGTCTTAATATGGTAAAAAAACAACAATACCCGTATACCAACCTAAAGTAAGAAGCACCTGAAGATTTTCCCTCTGTATAATAGAGTTATCATGGCTCAGTGGGTTGCCTGCATGGTTAGACTCGGGTTTAACATACATATTCTCGCTAGGACCAGCGTGAATGGCACTCTGCGCTGAAGGAGAAGAATTAGGCTGTAGCGGAGATGAGTGTTGAGTGGAAATGGATGATCCTCCTAAGGTCCTGGTGGATGCCTGGGACAGCCCCAAGTGTGTGGAGGTACCCAAGGTGTGTGTGGACACCTGGGAGAGCTGTACCTGGCACGAGGTATCCATCCTGCTGCCTGTTATGGTGGTGCCCGTACCCACATCCCGGGTGTCCTGGTCCCCAGAACCTCCCGGCGGGGCAGAGTACACCAGCTTCTCCTGCTCCTCGGGGTTCTGAGCTTCTTCGTTCCCATCACCTTAAAATATAATTATTGTTATGTGACCAGTGAACTGAGTGTGATGATAATCTATTACAGTACAAACATTACCTCATTAAAAATTTTTTTTGATTATGGTGAACTAAACAATACATCAGTTACAGCTACATTTAACTATCTCTCTAAATATAATGCGAATATAAAAGCAAAGTTGAAACTTTGACAGTTAACTGAGAAAACAATTAAAATTTGACACTTATTTAATCAATACTAAACTTTTAATTTGTCCTTGATAACCTCAATTATACAGTACAGTACTTGTAACTTTAAAACTTTTCACAAGTAGAGCTACATTCACTGTACATCAGCACCCCCCCCACCCCAGGCCATGAACAACATACACAGTCCCCTGTGCCATACAACAGGAGCCAGTGCATGCCCAGCATCTGCCAACAGTGTGTATCAGAGATGTGACCGACTGCCCAAGTGGCTAATGAGCCGATCAGTGACAAAGAGGATAAAAGTATACCAAGAACAAAAGAGTTAAAAGAAATCAAAGCTCTTGGTCACTATTGTGTCCAAATTTCAGCTTCTTAGCTTAAAAGGCTGAGAGAAGTAGTGATGTACAGCACAGTACCATATTACTATGGCTCCTAACACCTGATATAATTGGTCTTGGATATCTGCCCATTAGGGAAATGGTATTCATTTTATGTTTGAAAATTATCTTAGTACAGTTTGAACTGCTGAATGCAGTGGTGCTGACCATTTTATATAAAAGGTGCCAAACATTGTGTTTTGGCCTCTCCAAAACTTGTACAAACTCTGAAGGGAAAAGTCATTACTTGTCACAATAATCCAAGATTTTAATAACATACGTAAATGTCTATTTTAAGGTTTTCTGGTATGCTGATTTCTGTAACATACGTACATATTGAAGTCCAAAATGACTTGTATGACTCTATCTGCCAAAACAGGAAGAATAACCACCAAAATTAAATTTATTTTGTGAATGCAACAGTGATAAAATGTAATTTATTTATCTATTCCCCGATTTTAATAAGGTATAGTATTTTTAGAAGTCATACATAATATGACACAGCAAATTTAATATGACTTTGTATTAACTGGAAACAAAACATGCCAAATGTTATAAAAATATAACTTTAAACATTACCATAATTAAACACAGCGATGTTTCAACTGAAAGTGTAAAGCAGTACGATTGTTCACAAGTCACTCGTCCTTTTCTGAGTTGTTCTCACTCAGTGGAACACAAAAGTCTTCATCTGATTCTGTATCATCATCAACAAATTCGAATCCAATAAGCTTATCTGGGATATTTTCTAGGGTATCATTTACTGGAATATCAGGGAGTTTAGAGGTGAATAAGACAGCGGAGCAGGTAGAATTTTAACGAGTTCTTCACCGATAAGAAGTGCATCCCCCTTCATACCAAATGGGTTCAAGAATACCATCTTCAATTTTCCAGCCATACTGTAGTACATCCAATTGCCTGTATGACTGGTTCAGACAATTAACCATTCCATGCACAACAAGATTGACTAGCTGAATAGCACACTTTAAGAGATTTTGCATCTAGAGGTAGCCTCTTCAGTTAGGTGTACCTTTTCTTCTTTCCTTTCCATGAAAAGAGCATGGTATAACGTCTGCCACTAGGTATCTTCTTCTTTGGTCTGTTATATATAACACGAAGAACAAAGTTTGAGACCTCATTCATATCGACTTCAGTAGACTCTTAGACTTGACAGTAGCGAGATAGTGTCCACATTAGCCTGCATCTTCTTGAAACATAGAAAGGGAGTGTGAAGTAGCTTCCAGCCAAGACATGGAAAGCAGGAAGACCTCTATAAAGTGTATTGCTTAGATGTTCTGCAAGGGACTTGACATTTTGACATCTTATTCCTTCCTTAGATGTCATAGTCCCCTGACTGAAATATAGATTACAATCACACTTGGCAGCAACAAAAATGCAAGCGTATATAAACATCAGTTTTTCTGGCACGACACACACACCTGCATGTCTGGGTGAAGCATAAACTGCATGAAGTGCTAATCCTGGGCCTGCTTCTCTATGAAGAGAATGGAGCTCAGGAACCTCCACAGGGGGAAGAGGCACATCAGCTGACAAAAAGAAACAACGGTTATCTTTGGTGACATAGATATATCTACAAATATCTGTCTTTCTGGATAATACATAAACTGTAAGCAGGTGTGTAATCTGTAGCTTAGTGACATCATTTGTGAATTAGTCATTCCAGTATTGCATCTTTGGTAACTTTTGGGTAAAGTCTGCAATTAGTCATTTTGTAGTCGTGTCCTGATGACCTTTACACAAATAGAGATGTCCCTCTTCTGATCTATAATCATCAAATACAAGATGAAAAGTTGTACCTAGTTGAGTTTTCAGATGCCCCACAATCCTATTTGCCTAGGATACAAATATAGGAAGCATCAACTATACTGCATCTATATCCATTGGAGCAATGAGTGTAGATGGTGTTGGACGAAGGAACTGCAGATTATTTCTGAACAAAGATTTTGTTGAAGCTCTATGGACACTAAGCTCATTACAAATCAACCGTGGTTTACTTGTAATTGGCCAATCTACTATATAGCGTAGATCTAGCTTTTTCCATCATATTCTGCAAGAATTGCAACAAATGACTTGCCTTAATCTTCAACTATTGACACTTTCTTCCTTTTTCTGTGATTTTGTCAAATGTAAAGACCTTCTGTTTTTTATGGATCGCTATATTGAATGGTATGCTTTGAAAGTTCTGTGTCTGAAGCTGCTGATACATCTAGTGTTTGTTCAGGAGTTCTTTCTTGCTAAGACACACTTGTAGAAGGCTGCACTATAATTATTATTAATTATTATTCTCTGAATTAACTCTTCTCTTGCCATGTTCCCACTCTCTTTAGTGGTATTGACATTTCTAATAATTTCTTCAAAGTGCTAATAGCCCAGTTCATATACCGGGTATGTATGAGTGGCTGAGTTGGGGACCAAAGATCAGGTACTCATGTAGCACAGCACAATATTTAATCCTGCTAATATCCTCTCTACAGCAGCCTCATCCTCTTGCACTTGCTTTGATCCAAGCTCCACATGCTTAAATTTTGTGGGTTTCTTGACTTTGTCTTTTCGGTGCTGTTTTAGGGCTGCCGTATAATGATTTACTCACATCCTGTGTTCACTGCCACCAATATTTTCAGTTTTTCCTGTTAGACTACCTGTTTCCTTAGAGAATCTATTGATTATCATTTCAATGATTTGATCCATTGATATCTTGGTATGCTTTTTACCACTCAATGAGCCACTAAACCCTCCATCCAGAAGGTACCTGTAGATTCTTCATATCTACATAAAAATAGTTGTATTACCAACAGAAAAAGAATATAAAAATGCGCATATAAACGTATTATATCACATACATTACTCACATTACATCACAATTATATCACAATCACATTTCACATTTGAGTGTATTAGAGGTATCACATTTTGCATTTCAAGACATTAGGTGAACATTTTTTATATGTACAAATGAAAAGGGTACTTATGCCCCAGCAACTTAACCAAATTGTATATAATAACATAATTTGGGTGGTTATTCCTCCTGTTTTGGCAAATAGAGCCATACAACAGTCATTTTGGACCTCGTTATTTATGTTATAGAAATCAGCATCCCAGAAAACCCTGAAATAGACATTAATATTAATAACATTTTTGATTACTGTTAGTATACATGTTTGTCAGCATACAGTTAGCTCTTATTACTGTTAGTATACATGTACCTCTATCTCTTATTACTGTCAGCATACACACAGTTAGCTCTTATTACTGTTAGTATACATGCACCTTTATCTCTATTACTTTACTGTTAGTATACATATAACTTTATCTCTTATCACTGTTTGTACAGAGGGTCCCCGGGTTACAAACGGGTTCCAGTCCTGAGGACGTTCTTAAGTTGGATTTGCGTGCAAGTCGGAACACATGTGCATACCGTACCTACAAAACGTTTAAAATCCCACTATATCATAGCCCAAGTCCTTATATACATCTAAAATCACTTAATTTAAGATAAAAGAAGAAGTAGAATGACAAAATACAGTAAGTGAAAGAAAAAAATAAGTCAACAGGTAAATAAAGTACAACTGTAGAAATTTCAAGTTTAACCCCATTTGTATAAAAGGGCATTTGTAAGTCTAACGTTCATAAGTCAGGGACCCCCTGTATACATGCATCATTAAGCCTTACTACTACACATGCACCAGTACCTCGGATGTGTTGAGGGGTGTGCTTCAGCCTCTGTCGCCGCTGTCTGCAGTATATAAGCATGGCGCCCACCAAGGCCATATAGGCTGCCGCACCGCCCACAGCCACGCCCACAGTGCGCCCCAGCAGCTGTGAACTCTCCCCTGAGGATGATATCTTTAGCATTATGTGTTTACTAAATTTTAAGTCATAATTACAATCCTAATTTATTGATATCTTCCTGAACATGTGAACTCATGATTCATGGTGTTCAGTATTACTGGAGGTAACACTCTGAGCTAAATCAGTTTTACACAGAAAAACTATAACAAAAGTGTTTTTTTTACGATAGCAAATATTTCTTCCTAATTTTAATTTAAACTATGAAACAATTATGAGTAGATATATTATTTTTAAAGACTGTCAAATGTCTCCTGCTTCTCTGTGTTACAACTGTCTTTAAACATATAAGTAGGTTGATCATTTTTGGATACCCTGGTAATTCAAAGAAAATTAAGATTCAGATTCAGGTTCAAAAGTCTACTGTATCACTCAGCTACTTATCACTTTCTTAGCATGGCTTTACCTGAGAGTGTTCATGTCTGACAAATATAAAATCATTCTTTTCAAGCATTTTCAAGTCTGTGGACGATGGACATGACTATGATGTGATATGCCTCAACTATAACAAAGCCTTTAACAGGGCCCCTCACAAAAGACTAATACGTAAAGTGGAGGCTCATGGTATTGGAGGGGAAATTCTATAGTATTGGATTTCGGCATGGTTAACAGACAGAGAACAGAGACATCATTAATGGCACTAAATCCAACTGGGTAATGTCATGAGTGGCATCCCCCAAGGCTCAGTATTTGGACCATTACTATTAATTATATACAATACAATAACTATATAGATACAGTATAGGCATTGACAGTAACACCAGTAAATTTTTCCTAATGAAAAAAAAATAGAGCATATACGGTAATTAAATCTGGTGACTCCATAAATTTACAGTCAGACCTGAATAAACTTTTAGTGTGGACTGAAAAATGGCAGACACAATTTAATGTAGAAAAATGTAAAGTTCTTAATCTAGGGAACAGAAATGGAAAAACTCTCAAGTGAACAACGTAGCTATAGAGAAGTCCGATTACGCGAATGATTTAGCGGTAATGATAAATTGGAACCTAAAACCTAAACAACAATGTGTTATGCTTAAAACAAGGTGAACAAGCTACTAGGGTTGATATCAAGGAGTTTTGGTAAAACGACAAACAAGTTTATTCCTAAACTACGGGTACCTTTTATATGTCATGTATGTGTGATCTCACTTGGATTATGTGGTTCAGTTTTGTCCATAGTACTATAGAACAGATATTGGTTCCCTGGAAAGCATTCATACAAGGATATGAAAGTTAATCCTGGGCATTAGGAGCATTATATATAGAGACAGATTAAGAAAACTGAATTTGCATTCTATCAAGAAACATACAGGGAGGGACAATATGATCAAAGTGTATAACTGGAAGATGAGGTTAAATAAAGGTAATATAAACTATGTCACTTAAACTATCCAACTGGGACAAGTTATCAAACACCATTATTGATTTGAATTCGCTGGAAATTTTCAAATTTAGGTTGAACAAATATACGAGTGATTTGGGCTGACTTGTGCATGCCAATAACCATACTGTGTCTTCCTTCATTCTTTTCTCCTTATGTTCTTATGTAATAAATCCTAAAGACTCATGGTAATAATCCCAGACCTGTGATGGTGACGGAGATCTCAGCCCTGACGAGGCCACCCATGTTACCAGCAGTGCAGCCATACACACCACCATCTTCCTGTCGTACTCCTGTCAACTGCAGCGTCCCGTTACCATGCACTTCCACCCTGGGGAATGGACACCTTGTTAACAGGTAGTGAGTGACTGACACAAGGGAGGTTAAGTATAGTAGGAGTAATTTATGGTAGTAGAGGCACGGGATATGAACCATGAGAATAGCATCATGGTATAATGGTAGTAGAGGCGTGAGATGATATGAACCGGAGAATGACACCATGGTATGAGTTATGGGAGGATGAAATTAAGGAAGCAGTGTTATGGTGGTTGTGAAGTATGAGACTAACACCTCCAATTTTTATAGTCATGGTGGGAATTAAAACTAGGAGACGACCATAATGGAATAAACAATGGCATGACAGAATAATGAAACTAAATTTGATGTTATCAGAAAACTTGGTCAACGCTATTGGAAAAGTTACTCACCTCTCGAGGTCTAAGGCATTGGTGGTGTGGTTGTAGTCCCAGTGGATGGAGGGTCTTGGGCTGCCCCTGGCATGGCACTCCAGCACCAGCGTACCACCCTTGTCCACCTGCACTGGGCCCTGAGTCACCCACTCCAGCACGGGGCTCTCTGCACACCACAACAACTTTACTCACACGATGAATCAGCGTCCTAGGTATTGACTATTGTAGCAGAGTTCATGTATGGATTTATGTTGTGTTCAAAACCCTTCTTGAGGAAAATTTAACTTTAAATTGGCTAATTTTCATGAAAAGAAAACATTTCCTCATCAAATATGTAATGAAATGTTTTCAATTGAAAGAATGTTTTGCAACATTAAAACAGTTCTAATGATAAAAATACAAGTCATTTGAATTCATAAAATAAACGAATAATGACAGTATTACAAAGTGTGCAGTGAGATCAGGGAGGCAGAGGTGACTCGTGTGTTGAATTACTGTAAAAACCTCACCTTCACCTAGTTGAGTCACAACATTGTATTAAATGTAGGTGAAAGTGTGGTAAAGAATTGGAGCAAGATGTCAGAAAACTTAGTGCAACAAGGAAAATCTTATTTTCCAAACAATATACTGTACTGTAGTTGTTCCACACTAATTCTGGTAGTCTGTCACACTTCCTCGACATTCACCTAGACCACCTTTCAAGTGCTCCCCTGCGTGCACCTCTCCAATTCCTCCTTGTTTGTATTCACTAGGGTGAAATAGAGACCCTCGTGATTTCCACACAATTACTTTATTACTCGGTGTAAAGTGGTGGCTGCTGCACTTTACAGCAACAGCGTGCAGGGTTCATCAACAAGTGTTAAAAGTGTTGGCTCAGCCTTTATCACGGAGAAGTGAAGAGGAAGAGGTTACTGGTCAGTGTTTCATGCATTTGTGAAAGTGACTGATGAAGCATCTCAGGTGAGCGAAGGAACATTGTATCACAGATGCATATGGTTTGTAAGACTGATAGATAAATAAGCCATAAATATATATTGAATGATTTAGAGATAAACCTAAAACTAATAAACTAATAAAAGCTGGAGATAGATAGATAGATAGACTGGTAACAAGATTTCATGAAGTTAACAATACTGTATTGTCTTTACCGATGACAGTGAGAGAGATGGTGGTGTTGATGGAGCCCTGGATGGAAGCAGCCACACACATATACTGCCCACTGTCCTTCAGCTCGGCCCCTGCCACCTCCAGCCTTCCATCAACACTCAGCATGTTCTCCTTCTTCCCCACATCCACCAGCTGCGGGCGACACACACACACAAAGTAGTTTAACAAAAGTGAGACCAACTAATATATAAAATGAAAATAAACAAGTCATAGTATTTTCAATGTATCGAGCCTCCTGCCAGACCATGAACAAGATGTAAAAAAAAAAATGGTGACTATTGTGCCCAAATTTCAGCTTTCTACATTAAAAAGTGTCTGTGAATAGCCTGAAAAAGAAAGAAAACAAAAAAATTAAGCAACTCATTCAGAATGCAAATCCTTGTGGCACACGCTTCATGAGGCACTTAAAAACGGAAAATGGGGGGAGAGGTGGTATACAGTATAATTAAAGAAATTGCATACTGTTGAACTTCAGTCACTGGAAATATGAGACACATGAGGTTGTACCTGGAGTTTCAATAAATTTAGAAGGATTATACAGTACTGTACTCTACTGTTCCCTGTCCCACCTTTATCACAAAACTTTACAATAATGAAACCGAATTTAAAAAAAATATATATTTTTGTTATTATCAGAAGAAACCAAGACAATTATGCAAAGAAGAAATTTGGTTAACATAGGTAGGTGACTTGCCTGACTGAGTAACATAGTAGTAGCTTATGAGAAAGGTTCACCTCATATCAGGAGATTCACTGCCAAAAGATGACACTGGACTCACCTTATTTGCAGAGACATGATGCCAGGTGATGATGGGGGAGTCAGCGCCTCGTGCCTCACAAGGAATACTGATATTGGCCCCTACCTCCACCCGGACGTCATGAGGCAGTGGGGCGAACTTGAGCCTTTCTGATGTGGGACAAGGAAACAGAGTTACCCATGAAACTCGTTGTTTTCTATAACCCTTTGTCTTCTCAAATTTATTTCTTGTCCAAAGGATTTCTTAATACGGTTAATCTATAATGCATCCTAATACATTATGTACTTCATAAGCAGATTTGCTCGAAATGCAACTGCAACAGTAAATCCTGTGTCAACACAAGGTTAGCATGACTGTCATAACCCAATTTACCAAAGCCCTATTATGTGTAACTACAACAGAAAAAAGTTATAAAAAAATTATTACCTTCACCTGTAACATACTGTACTGAGTTTGCTCCACTAATGATTTTATAGAATCCCATGACCCCAGCGGCGATATCTTACCTGTGACGGTAAGTTTGATAGGTGGGGTCTGGAGTGGGGGGTGCCCGGCAGTAATGACAACACAGGCATACAGTCCCTCATCCTGCAGGCGGACCCACCTGATCCTCAACACCGACACCCCCTCCGTCATCTCGTCCTCCATCCCTGTCACCATCACGCGATAGTCATCAACACTTACCTGTAAAAAGGGGAAATCTTCTTGACTCTGTGACTTGTTAATGAGGTTAACAACTACACTCACTGAAGCTTTGAATTTCATGTACACAGACATACGGGTATAATATTAAGTAAATAAAAGTGAAGAATCGAGCCAGCGCGCACGCACGCACGCACGGGCAGCACCGAAAATGGCTGCTGCAGCTCCTGCGGTGTTGTGGGTGAGACTAGGAGTGTACGTGTGTCCATTAACCATCTGTGTAAGATGCAATGCCAGTACACTATCTAGTGTCAATGATCAATTACGAATGAATCTCTCAATGTTCCCTCTGACTGATCCTGGCTGCAGCTAGAGATATATGCCCTTCTAACTCGGACATCTATGTCCTTTAAGGAAAGAGTTATCTAAGGTGAAAATGGTCCTACTCACCAACTAGTATGAGACTTAACATTCCTGCCCAGGTGTCTCCCCACTCGCTCATTATTCTTCAGCCATACCCATGATGGGCGACAGGTAACAGGAGTATTATCTTGTGATTTGGATATTGTATAGCTGCTTTAGTTAATAGATAATATGCAGTGCCAGCACTTAAAAGCTTAACCCCTTCCTAGTATATGGCTAACCTCACCAGATTCCTCTCTCTGCCAATCAAGATCTGCCAAAAGAAACATCTTCAGCTAGCCTCAGGCGAAGGGCCCCACCCGTGTACTTACGTCATGCTAAATCAGTGATATCTCGGCAGGTTGCTCGGCTTTTGATTTCAGTCCACCCTCATCTCCACCCTGCATGAGGATGCTTCTGCTCTTCAAGAGAAAACGCCCAACAGGCAGTTCTTCTCTCACAAAGGTTGGAATGATCCTATTAATATAAAATGGGAATGTTCTTCTGACCTGGAACTACCGTTGTACCCCAACTGGACCAAAAGACAAAAACCGAGGAGCACCACACTTCAAATACGGGAGCCAAGATGCTTCCAGCTGCATAGAGCTCAACCTGCTGTTTAATAGCTGCACACCTCTGACGGTTAAAAAGATTTTTGTACCTCAGCTTCCCTGTAAAATGCATCGCCTCCAGACAAAAAGGTATCTGAATATACCCGGATTTAATGTTTATACCAATGTATCAAAGGAAGGCCATCAGAGAGGAGGAGTAGTGATGTTTGATAGCTGCAAATTATCAGAAAACATCTCTTATGTACACACCTATACTGAAGGCCAGGTCTGGGTGGTGATGTAAAGGTCACCGAGCCTCAAGCTAGGTGGCGTGTACATACCTCCAGAGGATTCACTCTATTACCAGCCATCACACTACGGTGCACTTGCTGCGCACACTGTGGGACCCGGGAAAGTGATCGCAATCGGAGATTTCAACGCGAGGGTTGGAGAGCCGCGCATCACGGATGAGAATGGTGACTTATATGAGTACAGTGGAGTAAAGGATTATACTGTCAATAGCCACGGCAGAGCACCGGTAAATATGTGTATCAACAACTGTATGGTTGTAGCTAACCACCTATGGTGCTTCACAGTTCACCCACTACATAGATAACCATTTCCCCTAAATACCCTGAGACCCAACCACACCTCTTCATCTCCAGGGACCATCAGATCACAAGGGAGGCACTCAACACGGTAAAGACTTTTCGGGGTGGTATCTACCAGCATGACTTCCCTTCCATATGAAAAGCTCATAGAATAGTCATCACCAATTACTCGCCCAACATTTGCCTGCTCCCTCAGCAACCTTTCTTGGGAGTCTTTCCACCTCTGGGTTATACAACCCTCCAGGGCTACCATTAACCCAGGAAACAGACTGCGGTTCCCTAAGTGCATAAACTGCTAGTACCAGATGCTTGGCATCACTACCAATAGACATCACACCGTTGCTGTGGGACTCCCAGCCCACCCTCCTATGCTGCCACTGTACTCGGCCACACTTTCCACTTAAAAAAAAATCATACCCCAATACATTTTCCCAGGCAATACCAACTACGAGCCACCAGACTCTCTCTCTCTCTCTCTCTCTCTCTCTCTCTCTCTCTCAAGGAAAATCAAGGAAGGAGAAGCAGGACAGTACCGGGTTGTTGTTGCGGATCCAGGAAACGTTGGTGAAGGGCCTGGGGGAAGCATCAACGCGGCACTCAAGGCGAGCAGTCTCTTCCTCCAGCACAGACACTCTCGACGTCACCAACTGCGCCTCCGGCTTACCTGTAGACATCTGCACGTATCAGTCTGTGTTTATGATTCATGGAGACGTATCACAGTATGGGAGAAGTATACAGTAATGTATCATAGTATACATTAATGTATCCTCATTGTCCTCCCCCTACCATCACCTCTGTCTGCCTCATCTCTCCTTTCCACCTTACATTCTCCCACCCTCTTTCCTTCCCTTCCTCCCTCTCTTTATCCCTCCTCCTCCCACTGTCCTTCCCTCCCTCACTCCCTTCCCACCAGCATCAAGAAGCAAAGATCACTACTATAGTCTACCTCCTCCCCATTTTCCACCTCCTCCCCCACCAAGACTCATGTATAACCATCACCAACATCACCATCACCACCAGTACTCACGTGTCACGACCAGCTGGAGAGAAACGGAGGTGTTGCCGGCAAGGTTGGAGGCTACACAGGTGTAGTTGCCAGCCTGGGCAAAAGTGGCATCCTCCACCAGAAGCGCCGCACCCTCCACCCTGAAGGAGGAATCCTCCAGCAGATGAGGTGTCTCCCAGGACACCTGGGGGTGTGGAAGGCCGGCAGGCGGCAGGCAGACGACCCGTAGGCGGCCGCCCAGGCCCACGACGTGTGTGTTGCGGATAGTGGCGTCAGGCTCTAGCACGGGCGGCGAGTGGGTGTCCAGGTCTGGCGAGGACAATATAATACTGTACTAGTGAGTGTCACTTGTCCCGTCATATAAGATACCCAATGTGTGGTGTGGTAACCTTCTTGCTTCTCATAAACATACAACATTAACACCTTTTACTGTCATGTCTCAGAATATATGTACACTGAGGAAGCTGCTATTAGGGATTAGAAAACTGGTAAAGTTGCTTCATAATGTTTTTTGTTTTTCGGATTATATCAATTTCTATTGATAAATTCATCAATATTAAAGTCATGCACACATAGGTCAGGCGAGGATTATCCTAGCAGATACGTACAAGCCAGAGTGAGGGAGGCAGCGTAGGAGGCACGATGGGCGCGGTAGGGGTGCACGCCCTCACACCTGTACACGCCCTCGTCTCCCAGGGTGGCCGCCCATATCACTACCGTACCGTTGGTCAGTACCTGGTGCCTGGGGGTTATGAGTGTTATCAGTGGTGCTATCAGTGTTATCAGAAGTAATGCTATTGCTATCACTAATATTGGTAGTATTACCGGCTGTGTTACAGACAGTAGCAATAGTTTTGCCTGGAGTATTACTACGACCATTATTACTATTGTTTCATTATTGATGTTAGGTATTATGTTCCCAAATATGTAACCCTGGGTACTGCTGGCAATGATAACAACAACAGTTGTAGACAGTGATGATCTGTATATGAATGACCCACTACTTAAATAAAGTTAAGTTTGTATTGTAGTATTGACCTTCACCTGGTCAGTTTTTATACGACACGCGCCCTTGGTGACAACTGACACTACTGTTTAATATGTGGTAGGTGAGAGAGAGAGAGAAGACATACCTGGAGGTGTTGGTGAGTGGTCCACTATCCTGTAGGTACCAGAGGATGGTGGTGTGGTCCTCGTAGCTGCAGTGTAGGGCAGCTCTCCTCCCAGGACCTACCACCACTGACTCTGGCACTACCACCACGCTCGGCACGCCCGTGTCTGTGGCGGGAGGAAGGTCTGTTTACTAGCATTGTACTCTAGAGGGAGGAAGGTCAGTTTACTAGCATTGTACTCTGGCGGAAAGAAGGTCTGTTTACTAGTACTGTGGCGGGAGGAAGGTCAGTTTACTAATGCTGTACTCTGGCGGGAGGAAGGTCTGTTTACTTGTACTCTGGGGGGAGGAAGGTCAGTTTACTTGTACCCTGGGGGGAGGAAGGTCAGTTTACTAATACTGTACTCTGGCAGGGAGGAAGGTCTGTTTACTAGCATTGTACTCTAGGGGAGGAAAGGTCAGTTTACTAGCATTGTACTCTGTGGGAGGAAGGTCATTTACTAGTACATGGCAGGAGGAAGGTCAGTTTACTAATACCTGTACTCTGGCAGGAGGAAAGGTCTGTTTACTAGTACTGTGGCGGAGAGGTCAGTTTACTAATATTGTGCTCTGGCAGGGGAGAGGTCAGTTTATAATATTGTACTCTGGCAGGAGAAGGTCTGTTTACTAGTACTGTGGCGGGAGAAGGGTCAATTTTACTAATACTGTACTCTGGCAGAGGAAGGTCTGTTTACTAGTGCTGTGGCCGGGAGGAAGGTCAGTTTACTAATATTGTACTCTGGCGGGAGGAAGGTCAGTTTACTAGTAGTGTGTGGCGGGAGGAAGGTCTCTTTATTAGTACTCTGGCGGGAGGAAGGTCAGTTTACTAGTAGTGTGTGGCGGGAGGAAGGTCTCTTTATTAGTACTCTGGCGGGAGGAAGGTCAGTTTACTAGTAGTGTGTGGCGGGAGGAAGGTCAGTTTACTAGTACTATACTGTGAAGCTACAAGTTATCGATCACTTGTGGTGTATAATCGTATGAAACTACAGCCTGGGTCAGTAAGAGGAACTTTGGGTGGGTGGCTCTGCTATACATCTACACAAATGACTAATAATGACAAGGTACACTTAGGGATAATTTGGGACACTAAATATACCTGATAATTAGGTCAGCTCACGGTAATTAGTGCTCGAGTCAGTGTTATATAACCACCATTAATTATTATCTCTTAAAATAGCAGTTAAACTTTATAAAGATTATTAAAAAAAAATTAACATGTACCACAAACTTACAACTGCATATATAATCGTTTAAATGGTTCTGATTATTATTCCTTTTTTGGGGGGGTTTGGAATAAAATAATTAATTGCCACGGACAAGAATAATTACGAAACACGTCGATCGTAAAAGAGTGGATCCGAGAAAGAAACGTCTTACTTCACCTCCTATTCCTTCCTCCCCTCATGGCGCCTATCTCGCTCAATCACTTCAATTTCACGTATCAATATCTAATGTCTTACTAGATAAAACAAAAAATTAGATTTGAAAATGCTGTGATGGTTTACAAACTCATGAAGTGTAGTCGTCCGCTTCGTCCCTCTCTTGGTGATGCCTCCTAGGTCCTCTACTGACAGCTGTTAGGTCCTCTACTGACAGCTGTTTGGTCCTCTACTGACAGCTGTTAGGTCCTCTACTGACAACTGCTAGGTCCTCTACTGACAGCTGTTAGGTCCTCTACTGACAACTGCTACGTCCTCTACTGACAGCTGTTAGGTCCTCTACTGACAACTGTTAGGTCCTCTACTGACAGCTGTTAGGTCCTCTACTGACAGCTGTTAGGTCCTCTACTGACAACTACTAGGTACTCTACTGACAGCTGTTAGGTCCTCTACTGACAGCTGTTGTGAGGATGAGGGCGACAGACACACACACACACACACACTCGGCACTATAACCACAACAATCCAAGAGAGACGCCACGACAGACAACGACCCGACGGACAATAGAAGAAAATTTCATGTGTCGTTCAAATACCTTCAAGAAGATACAACCACTTAAAGCCCTCGCAAGGAAACACTATTAAGGCTATAAGACTATTGTCGATAATACCATTCTATCGAAGAAAGCAGAGAAGGACCAGATAAATAAATTGACTGGGGGCAGACAAACAGTGAGACAGATAGAGGAAACACGTACCTAGGGTGATGGAGGGCCTCACCATGACACAGAGGAACCCTGGTGTCCCTCTCACCCTGGTGCCCGTGACTCGCACTGAAGAGTAATGGAGGATTATCTGTCGTCAACTAGGAAGTCCTCATGTTGGTTAATATATTCGTATCGTTAAATTAAAAGGATGTGGGTTCCATAGGCCTGATGGGGCAGTGGGGGTACATCGTAAGTCTTCGGTACACAAGGAGGCAACGTGAACCGGCACTGTACTCGACCGTTCTCACTTCCTCATCTGTAAAATTAGGTGTCCATCTAAAGACCTGGTGGAATGTGGGTGGGTACTCGGGAATCGAATCAACGACTATTAGAACAGGAGGTGATCACTGTATCTACTCGGCTGTTGAATAATTACTGTGTCTGTAGTACCTAACCTAACTAATCGCTGGTATAACTATGGTGTACAGGGTATCAGCTAGCTAACTCCCAGATATAACAATAGTTTAAATAACACTAAATAATACCTAGCGTAAGTCTGGACCAGATAACAACAACGAGGTTTTTTTTTTTTTTTTGCCGAGCGACCAAAATAATCTGTGAAAGATGTCGACACTTAAAGATCTGAAATCGCCGAACTGTGTATGGTGAAGATGAAGAAAGTGGTGGTGGTGGTAGATGTGGAGGTGGTGGTTATGGTGGTGGTGGTGGTGCAGGAGAGGTAGGTAGTGATGGTGTTGTAGTAGATATTCGTGGTGGTGGTGGAGGTGAGGTAGGCGACTTACCATGTATGACAAAGGATGGAGGTAGTGGTGGAGGTGTTGGTGGTGATGGTAGAGGTGAGGCAGACGATGAAGAAAATGTTGGAGACGGTAGTGGTGGAGAAGATGAAGGTGACTTACCGTGTATGGAGAGGATGAAGGGGATGTGGGCGGTGGTGGAGGTGAGGTAGGCGGGTCTCACAGACTGGTGGAGGGCGCCGCTATGCTTGTAGATGGTGGCAGCACAGGTGTACACGCCGTTGTGGGAGGCGGCGTCGAAGGTGCTGATTGTAAGCTTCCGGCGTGATAATGTGAACCCCGCCACCTCTGCCAACGCCTCCCCGTTCCTGCAGTGATAGAGTGAGTGAGTGAGCGAGTGAGTCTTGATGGTCAGGAGTGAGTGATGGTCTTGGAGGGCAGGAGATTGTGAAGGGAGGGTGAAGGGAATGGGTGGTATGGGGAAGGGGTGGTATGGTGAAGTGTGAAGGGTGGGAATGGTATGGGGGTGAAGGGAGAGGTGGTATGGGGGGTGAAGGGAGGGGTGGTATGGGAGCTTGAAGGGAGGGGATGGTAAGGAAGAGAGGAGGGAAGGGCGTGAGGAGCGTCACTCACCTCCGCCAGCTGTAGTAAAGTTCAGGTCCTCCGTCGACGCGACACCTGAGTTTGAGGGAGCTGCCGGGCCTCACGGTGGACAGATCCTTGGGGTCAGCCAGCACCACCCGCGATTCCTCAGCCACCCCTGTAACACCAGTGTCTTGTGAGTACCCTATAACCAGTGTCTTGTGAGTACCCTATAACCAGTGTCTTGTGAGTACCCTATAACCAGTGTCTTGTGAGTACCCTATAACCAGTGTCTCGTGAGTACCCTATAACCAGTGTCTTGTGAGTACCCTATAACCAGTGTCTTGTGAGTACCCTATAACCAGTGTCTTGTGAGTACCCTATAACCAGTGTCTTGTGAGTACCCTATAACCAGTGTCTTGCGAGTACCCTATAACCAGTGTCTTGTGAGTACTCTATAACCAGTGTCTTGTGAGTACCCTATAACCAGTGTCTTGTGAGTACCCTATAACCAGTGTCTTGTGAGTACCCTATAACCAGTGTCTTGTGAGTACCCTATAACCAGTGTCTTGTGAGTACCCTATAACCAGTGTCTCGTGAGTACCCTATAACCAGTGTCTTGTGCCAATCCATCAACACACAATATGTCACTGACGTATTGATTATGTCACAGAAGAACACCCGTGTCCGCAGAAGGTCAGACAACCTTTACCTGGCGTAGCTTCAGTAGGTGTATCATTCTATTGCCACATCCGCTACTAAAATATCATTCATTAGTGCTTTTAACATCTGTACTGCACCATTTGATATATCGCAATACAACACACACGTATGTCCAGAATTATCCTACACACTACAACACTACACACTGACATGCTCCTCAGAGGCCAGGTTGAACTACGTCTTAAGTATCAATTTAATCAAGGAGAAGTGTTATTAGTCCACACACAGAGAGTGATAAGTTTAGATTTAGTCTGTCGTGCCTGGCAGAAATCTTGATTAATTAGTGTATACCATGTAGTTAGGACATTATCCAGCCATGCTTACGAAGAACTGAATATTTCTCAATTATGTATGTTTACTGAAAATATTGATTCACGTGTATAACAATATTCATTCGGGCTTGTTGTCTGTGTCCACAAGTCACGGAATTGGCTTGTTTGTTCAATTTAAAGATACAGTTTTTCTTTAATCGGCGGTGTGTTTGCTGTACGGCCTCGACAAACAAAGAAAATGATTCTCACATGAGAGAAAAAAAACGGTGTTTGTGTACAGACATCTCTTCCCGTTGAATATTCCCTTTGGCGCTGGAGTGTTTGTTCTATCAGTAACGTAAACAGATTTTTATATTTCACTTTGATCCGCAGATGGAGAGGCGTGTTTCCAGATTGTCGCCTGCCTGGGACCTTGTTGTTGATTTTACTAAATAAATAACACCGAGAGACATTTTATTTGGCTAACGCCAGACGATTTTATTCACCTCAGAGGGGACCCCTGTACAAAATGGTTAAATGGGGTCTTGCTCTACCCTGGGCTATGCTATGTTATGTTAGGTTGGGCTTGGAAGCTATTTCACGTGTGAGCAAAGGACTGTTCAGTTCATGAACTGTGTGTGTGTGTGTGTGTGTGTGTGTGTGTGTGTGTGTGTGTGTGTGTGTGTCTGTCTGTCTGTTTTACGCCCCGTTTGTAAAATAATAATAATAATAATAATAATAATAATAATAATAATAATTGTAATAATAATACCATCAATCATCACAACACACAACAATTAACTGTCTTTTCTGTGCAACTGAGCAGCCCTTACGAGGAGCCACTCTGTTCACCCCACAAGGGGAGGGTGCTAGTAAAGGTGCCCTACACATAGCCTGTCTAAAGAACCAACTTGACTGTACTGGGTAACCGATCCCAGTAAGGTCATCTTAATGCGGTCGAAAACATCACAACAGATCAAAACAAAAACAAACTTATGGCTGCTGCATGAAGTGTCAGGACCCTTCTGGATACTGGCACAAATGAGCGTCCTGAAAGAAGAACTGCCCTTGTGGCAAATAGCTGGCGAGGTATAACATCGACATAGCAGCCACTAGTGAGTCCCGACTCCCGAACGATGGTCGACTCAGAGAACGGGGGTCCGGCTACATCTTCTTCTGGAAGGGTAAGCCTGCTGTGGAGAGAAACCGCACATACGCAGTTGGATTTGCCACCATACATCAGCTAACTGAAATGCCTGTTGGGATCAACGAACGTCTCATGACGCTCCGAGTCCCACTAGATGCAGAAAATGACAGCAAAGAGGCATTGACAGAGTGCTAACCTCTATCCTCAGCGAAGATAATGTAATGCTAATAGGTGATTTCAAAGCCACAGTTGGCAGAGATGCTGACATGTGGCAAGGAACCGTAGGGAGAAACGGAGTGGGTAAGTGTAATCCCAACGGCCTCTTCCTCCTCAACAAGTGTGCTATCACCAACACCTTGTTTGAGCAGGCCGACAAGTTCAAAGGTTCTTAAGTTATGTCTTAGAGGGCATCCTGACAACCTGGGATTACCCCTTCTAATTATGGCTGACTCTACATGTTTCAGTACGTTTTCTATAATTATACTGTCTGCTGGTGTGTGAGTGCCGAGGTTGTTTGCCCCACTTCTACCTTACACACACAGTAATCGAGTGTATGACTTGGTGGTCGCTAGTGTTTATTGCTATTGATCATGAGTATTGATCTACTTGTCTTACTCCTTCCTTCCTTTCCCCTCTCCTCCTGCACCTTCCCTCCCACTCCATCTCCCCATTACCTGCTCACCCACACCTCCCTCACCAACGCACCACCCATTACAACACCCACTACACCTGTTTACATTACACAACTCCACGTGGACACACTCCTCCCTGCCTCCACCACTCACCTGCTCTGAATTATTCGTCGTCGACACACCCTGTTGTGTTTGTACACCAAATAAGCCATCTTGGTCCCCCCTGCTCCCGTTACTGCCACACACACTACATTACACCTCAGCTCTGTCTCAACACGCTGTTATGTATTCTTTATTACCTTCTCCTATGTCATTTCACGTAATGTTGGTGCCTGAGTGACACTATATCATGTCTCATATATATATATACACAGTAAGACCTCTGCACAACGCCCACCACGAAGGTATAGTCCTCACCCATTATTAGGTTATGTGCTCCTACAGTACAAAAGGTCTTCACGTCGCCGCCAACACTGGTCCTTGTGAAATACATCTTAGTGTTTTATTTTATAGTGACGTGTTGAGTGAAACCTTTGTACTGTACAGTACAGCGTTAAAGTACAGTACAGTAGAGAGTGTACTTGCTCAGTGTTCACACTGTAGTATAGCACAGTACTGTACTAATCACCCGTCAATATACTGTACACACCAGCACCTCCTGCACTGTATATAAGGTAAAGTTATCAATAAAACGATCTCCAGTATGAGAGGTTCATTATTATTCTTGAGGTTCATTATTATTCTTATTAAGTTTATTTATTTTTTTTACAGTAAAATCGCCAGCGACCCTTATGGTAACTTTCCACAAAACCAAATTTTACAGAACTTCACACAGGAGGTTGGCAGGAGTGTGTTGTGCACTGTATGTAGTGTGTCTGGGGATGCACAACTAAATCTCTTGTCAAATAAAGATAATATTTTGTTATGATCACTGTAACTCCGTCAAGATTAGTTCACAATAAGCCAATTTGGGTTAGTGCTGATGCTACTGCTTTATAGTTAATTATCTCGTGTTGACTGTGACTGGTGGGGTATTGACTGTGTGACTGTTATGTTGACTGTTAGGTTGACTGTGTGACTGGTGGGGTGTTGACCGTGTGACTTATGTTGACTGTTAAGTTGATTGTGTGACTGGTGGGGTGTTGACTGTGTGCCTGTTATGTTGACTGCTAAGTTGATTGTGTGACTGGTGGGGTGTTGACTGTGTGACTGGTGGGGTGTTGACTGTGTGACTGTTATGTTGACTGTTAAGTTGATTGTGTGACTGGTGGAGTGTTGACTGTGTGACTTATGTTGACTGTTAAGTTGATTGTGTGACTGGTGGGGTGTTGACTGTGTCTAACCTAACCTAACAGGTGTTGCGTATACAGAGTGATCTGTTATAGTAATTCTTGGTGGCCCTCTCTTGTGTTACCTGAACTCTTACCGATTGGAAACATTTGTAATTGTATGTGTATTTTCATCTTTACCTGTTCTGTACCTGTAGTTGTACCAGAACTAGCACCAATATCTGTACCTGTACATGATTCTCAACAAAACTTGTTATATCGACTCTGAACTGATAAAATAAACACGTCTACCATTAATCTCCGCGTGCTTAGTGTCGATGACCACCAGTACACCCAAGTGGCGCTGTTTCTACAGGGAGGCGTTACCTAAGATGATCCTTTAACTTTCTCGTGTTTACGTCTGTCAATACCCTGACATGAATTATAGCAACAGAAGTGTCCACAACGCCACACGACCCGAAAAGGGTACACGCAGTCACTCCGGGGGGAAAAAATAAAAATAAAAAAATAAAATAAATAAATAAATAAATGAATAAATAAAAATAAATAAATAAAAATAAATAAATAAATAAAAAATAAATAAATAAATAAAAATAAATAAATAAATAAATAAACAAATATATATATATATATATATATATATATATATATATATATATATATATATATATATATATATATATATATATATATATATATAAACAAACTTGTAATTCAGTGTCACGTGGATGTTACATTGATTATATTTCATGGAATTTTCTTCAGCATTATGGATTATTGTGGGTTGGTTGAGATAGAGCAACAGGTGGCAGGTGTGGCGGGAGACACACACACGCACACACATGCAAACACGAATACGCAGACACACACACACACACACACAGAGTCATATACAAACATAACAAACGGAGTACACACACGCTACTGACGACCACACTAACACACACAGGGACAACATGTGAAGTAAGTTATACGTGTCTTTATATATATATAGAGAGAGAGAGAGAGAGAGAGAGAGAGAGTCACACAGGGAAAAGGGAAACAACGGAGCACCTTAGCTTTCGTCTTTATTGAAGACATCTTCAGAGGCAACTGAATTACAAAGACTGAGAGAGAGACCTTATGTACACTTATCC